TATATATATATATATTTTTTTGTTTTACAATAGATGCGAGGATTTGTTTGAATGAAGCTACAATAATATCTTTATTATATGAAATAACGTTTTCATAAATTATATACATACTCGTATATTTAAAACAATCAAATATTTTGTCAAATAAGTACATATTCTATATAATATAGACAAATTCTTAGAAGATTGATATTAAGATTGATCTATTATTAATTGAAGTACAATACATGAGAGGCTTAAATTTAGCTTTAATTACATAAAAATTTAAAAAGTACATAAAAATTTTGGAAGAAACATTTTTCATAAAATACAATTTAGTTGTTTGTAGAAAAGTAAGGCCGTTAATATGTTGAATCAACAATATTAGATTAATAATGCGTAAACAATATTAACAATGTCAAATCAATGTTTAATTACAATAAACATCTTAACTTTCTCAAACTGTTAAGTAATTTTGATTATAAATAGTATTAATTGAACTCTAGTTTATTCTCAAAGTAAAAGTAATTCTGTTTAGCTTGACATGCGCTATTCTGTCATTTGAAAAAATATTTATAGTCAGAATTACTTAGTGGTTTTGTAAATAGTTTACTGTAACTAAAAGTAAATATTGATTTGACATTGTTTTACGCATTAGTTCAAAATTGTTGACGACATGTTAACAACCTTACTTTTCAATTTACAATTAATAATAATTTTCAATAAACAATTATGGTTTTTCTGAAAAATATTTCTTCCAAAATTTATATACAGTTAAAGTAACTAATATTTAAGCGTCTTATATATTTCAATTAAGGTTTCTGAGTAGCCACCACAGCCATATTGAAACGTGACGTTAGAAGCGAGAAATGATACGTTAATTTTTATTACATGCCATTTATAAATAAAGACAATTTGGATAAAACAAAATGATAAGATTGCTTTAAAATATTTATAAAAATGGACGAAATCTGTGCTTATTCCCCTTGACAGTCAATAAATAATCATAAAGTGATAAAAGGCGCATTAAGTGCTTTTATTCAATGCGTATGAGCAATTCATTCATTTACACGTGTATGATATTACAAAATTGTGTGATACAAAATTGTACCATTTTCGTTAACCAGCATTGAACAATTTATTAAACTAAAAGTATTGTTAACTACAATTAAGTTTAGTTGAATATAGTTGAATATAGTTGAATAAAAATTGGTGCATTAATCATATATCTTGCTTTACTTGAATGATCTTATATTATTTTTGCGTGAACATATTTTGTTATATAATAGATGATTGATTAAAAATTGATAAGATCAAAATATGTCATTCATAAAAAAAAAGTGAAGTATAAACAAAATTAATTTCATCAGTATAATATTTATTAATTTATTTCAGTGTAATATTTATTAATTTATTTCAAATGTTTATTATTACTACGTTGGATATTAAATACATCCATCTTATTAAAAATATTATTAAAAAGTTTAGTAGGGTACATTTCATAGTAATAACAACAAAACATTTGAAATAATCAATCCCTTTATTACTTTTCAATAATATTTTTCATAACAAATATACAACGTGTAGCAATAATAAATGTACATTTGAAACAAATTATTATTATTATTATTATTAATAAAATTGATTTTGGTCATATTTCACTTTCTTTTTTTGAGTCTACTACATGCCTCGATCTTCTTTTTATCAATTTTTAATCAATAAATTCATCTATTATATAAGAAAACATATGCAAATACAAGGTCATTCAAATGAAACATTTGGATATATAAACAGCTAATTATTCCAACAAAGTGTTAATTTCCATTGACTAAATATTTTCTTTTTATTATTTTATTTGATCACATCACTGAGAAAAAAGTCTGATAATACCTACACTGAAAAAAAAAAAAAAATTAATTTTAATAAATATTTAGTTCAATACTGTCAATTAAACATTTATTTACAGTAAACTTAGAGTAAATAAATACTTGTTCAATAAAAAAAATGTTAAATCAAATTAACATTTCTTGTATCAAATAAATATATCTTTACATTTAATAAATATTTAATTGACAGTATTCAATTAAATATTTATTAAAATTGACTATATTTTTTTTCAGTGTACCAAATGCATATTGGTGCTATAAGTAAAACCTATAAGTAAAACCATACATAATAATAATAACTAACCGTTTGATAATAATTACTAAATATTTAGAAAGCTAAAATTCTCATTTAGTTGGTTCAACTAAATGATTTAGTACTTAAAACCAAATCATTTGATAATATTAATTATATATTCGGTAATTATTATCAAATTATGTGTAGAAGATATTTCTAACTGATTTGATAATAATCAAATTATTTAATAATTATTATTGAAATAAATATGTAATTTGAAAATTGTTATTAAATTAGTAAAAATAAAAGATGCAATACTCAGATCGCAAAACGAAATACGTCCGCCATGATTGGACGATTTCTCTTTGTCTCTTCGAGACAAAAGACAATCGCTTTGTCATTTCAAACTAAATGAATAAATACCAGTGTATTATTTCATTCCCATATAATCTCTTCAAGTATTAATAATATTGAACTGTCAGCATGAACTTAAAGAGCATGAAATTAAAAACGGTTATAGTAGGAGATAGAAATAACGTTAACAATAACATGATCAAGTGCGATTAACTTTGAGTAAGCGCATTAGGCTATCGTTTTAAGAATCGTAAGTTCAAATCTTGGCGGTGTGGCAATGCAATGTGTTTTTCAATAATTAATTGTAGTTAATAAGAAAATATAGATATGCGAAACCAGTAAATAATAAATTGAACTGGAAAAATAAAAGTAACAATAACAAAAAGAATTATTTTTTGCGTTAAAATACACTAAGAAGAAAGATATATAGTAATGGTATCAAAAAAAGAAAATTTTTCACAAATGGCCGATTATTTGGTTATTTACGTTTTGTAAATAACAATGTGAAATTTGGTTGCTATTACAAAATAAATATTCTTTTAGTAATTTCAACAAAATAATCCACTATGGTAGAGTAAGCAGTAAGAGAGACGTTCGCTGTTAGGCTAGAAGTGTGCATGGACGGAACCTGTGATGGTCTGATCTACAGGACGACCCAAATCCTGACATGATAGTTTCGCGGCTTATCTGAAATAAGGAAATTAGAGAATCTGCGAGCATTGCATAGCTGCTATTGATACCGGAATTCATACTCTCTTCTCTAAGATATCTCTGTTAGACTTACGCGGATGATATCGCTATCATGGACCCGTGGTCCGACTAGAGGCGCCATCATCTGTGTTCTCTCTATTCTGCGCGCTGTTATCGCGTAGCGCTTCATTGTATTACTGATATTAGTATTACTGAAGACCTTCTTCTCTCGTTATGCATTGAGTAGCGTGTTCGCGATTTATATTCGTCTTTATAATAAATGTGTAATTACTTTTCGTACGCTTTATTACCATTCGCATACCCGCTCACAATCTCAAATTTAAACGAAATACATTCTGATGTTATTCCTGATAGATATCTATGATTAATATTGCTTATAGTAAAACCTGGAATGTTATCATAGGTATATTATAAAGATATATTAGAGATAATTATAGTATCTAATTGGGATATATTTGGGAGAATGTTTCTAATAATAATGGCTTAATTTGTACCGATTATATAGACAAAAAATATTCCGATAGTATGTAATTTTGAAGATTTCTGGTAAAATCTTTTTAGGTCAGAATATCTTGAAAACCTGATATAATGGAACAATTTGGGCTATGGATTTGATTTTAACATACTTTCGGGATAGTATTACATACTATCTATGTCAAAATTCATTGTTGGCCTGCATTGTTTTTAATATGTATCAATTAATTGGTATAAACACTGAAAAAAAGAGTTTGGTTGGATTATTTGGAAATCTAGATTCAACCAGTATATCTGTTTAAAAACGAATGAATCAGAATTCTTGTAAGAATTACCAGATGAATTTTTTCTAATTAAATCTTCTAGAATTTTTTGTTGGTCTAATGCCTTCCTGTTGAATCTATCAAATTTTCTTGTTGATCAAACAATTATTTCCGTAAATTCTACCAAAATTTCTACCAGAATTGATCGAATAAATTTTTCCCATTATCTTTTTGTTGATAGAATATGGTAGTGCTTCTCATTAAATCTATTGGAATTTCTTGTTGATCGAATAATTTCTGCATGTTAAATATATCAGAATTTCTTGATAATAATATTAAGTTTATTCAGTCATGATAACGTAGTTTTTTTCGTTAAAAGTTTTCGAGCTGTTTAATCTCTGTGATTTTTTTTGATCGCTGTAATTTAAATATAAGAATAATTACAACTTAAGAAACATTTTATAAATATTTCTTATACATATTTCTTAGTATTTCGGATGATACCGAGACTGTTCTCGGTATCAATGCAGAGTCGAGATTGAAACGAGAGCGAGACGAGACTTTTTATATCAAGAATCTCGACGATACCGATTTTGTAATGTTAGATATTTCTAACGCATAAGATATAAGTTTCAGACCCGTTTTTCATTATTTGGTTAATTGTTTAATCTGATCATTACGATCACTTCAGCAGAAAATTGCGTATGAGTTAATTAAAGAAGAAATTCAACACTCTTTCGAAAATCAATCAGAAGGAAAAGACTTAATATACAATAAAAGTACCCTTCGTTCGATATTTGCAATTTTGTAATATTACATAATTGTTTCATTCAATGAGCCAATTTATCACAGATAAAGCCTATTAGATAAAACATCAAGTTAAACAGGTGATCGAGCTTTAATTTGTACGAGGCTCGAATAGATACTATATTTGTATGTAGTAATGAAAGAAAAAAGAAGTTAGAAGTCGGAATAATGTATGAATTAAAAAAAAGTTTTAAAAATTCTTTGAAATTAGTAGATTTAATAAAAAAAGAAATTACTTCTTAAGAAACTACTTAAGAAATAATAATAACTCATAATTGTTTTCTTTGCATTTAAAAAAAATTTCATTGAACTTTATGGTGCATCTTGTACTTAAAAATTACGAGTAAATTAGCCTACATTTAACACATATAGGCATGTACATATATGTAATCATATAAATTTAATTACATAAACTTATTTGATGTAAATATCTTATTCATACATTTCTGCTTTGCTAGAAATGTTTCAGAGATTAAAAATGATTATAATGTCACTAACGTTGAAAAAATATATTGAAGGTAAAGGAAAATGAATAAACAAACATGGTCGATAATAAAGAAAAACTTATAAAAATTATAGAAACTTAGAAAAATTAGGTTATTACCATAACCTTCAGTTAATGGTAGCATAATTATTTTTATTTTGTTAATGCGAATAGGCGTACATTTATATGACTAAAATACTTACTTCATGCATACCATACTCTTATGTCTTATTCGATATTATCACAAAAAAGGGACAGAAAAATTATACACAAAGGAAATAATACATATATTTTATTTAAAAAATATATAAATATTAAAAGCAGATTCTTTGATTTCGCCTTTTCCTTTATTGAATATTTTCATCCTTTTGAAAAAAATGTGATTTTGTAAATTAATTGTTTGAAAATTATTATTCTGTATTTATATAAATTAAATTTTAATGGAAGTAGTTTTTGAAACTTACTTGATGAAAACATATGCAATAGCTTTCTTTGTTTGTAAAAATGATCTGTCTATCTAATATAAATTTCTGTCTATCTAATATAAATTCATTAAAAAATTGTATGAGATCGTGTGTGTGGTGTGTGTGTGTGTGTGTGGTGTGTGTGTGTGTGTATGTGTGTATGTGTGTGTGTGTGTGTGCGCACGTCGATATTTTTGATAAAAAAAATTAAGATTAAAATCTTTAACAAAAATTACTTATAAGATTAGTTATTGCAGTACTTTAATATTTTCTCTGAAATTTATTTTTGAGACTACAAGTCAACCAAGAATTTATACATAAAATTATACGTGTCGATTTCGTTTAATTTATTTCTATGTTTTGTAATAACTAATGATGCCTTAGAAAATAATCTTTCCGCTGGAAGTAGCGATAATACCAAAAATATCCTTAATCACTTTTGATAAAGTAGGATAAGTTATTTCATTTTGTTTCAACCAGTTTAGTACTGAACATTCTTTCGACATTCTTGGCGTATTTCTGTACGTTTCAAATTCTTGAATTGGTGTATTCATTATTTGTTTCGTGTACAAAGAATCAATATGTATCATCGTCTGTTTCAATCGTTTCTGTACAATCATTGCTATCATTTTGTTTTTCATTATACGAGTAATAATTTTGTAGTATTCGAAAAATTATTCTGTAGGCTCTGTTTTCATTTTCTTTGCCCAACGAAGTTAAATCAAAAGATTAGCAAATTAAAAATTTTGTGTGTATATAATTACTAAATTTTATATTGATTATTTAATGATAAATAATCTCAATAACTTTTCTCTAATAATAACACTTTCTCTAATAATAATCACAAAATGCAACTTTAAATAAAATTTAAAAAATATGCTTTAAACCAGATATATTCATTTATTTTCCAAAAAATTTAAATTACTACTATTATTAGTACACAAATCAATAAAAAGTTCAAAAATTTAATTAATAAAATAATGAATAATAGTGAAGTTTAATCGCATAGATCGTAAAAGAAATTGAAAAAAATGCTTATTATGATTATCGAAATCGAGACGAGATTATCATTGTCAAGATCAGACCGATATGAGATGAAAATTTCGAGATCAAATCGAAACCGAGACGAGAGCTAGTCTCGCCTCATCTCGGCGAGATCGAATCACAATATTTCTTAAGTTGTAATTATTCTTATATTTAAATTACAGCGATAAAAAAAAATCACATAATGATTAAACAGGAAAGCTCGTCTTTTAAAAAACTTTTTTTTGATTGAATAAACTTGGTATTTGAGGACTCAAATCCGGAGTCGAAATGTACGTAGTATAAACAAATTTAGTCTTTATTTATGTTATTAATATACTATCCAATTGTTTGTGGATACATCTTTTGCCTTATAAATGTAAATATATTATTTGCGCACGTAGGCTCTTACAAGCATTTTCCTGGATTAAATTTATTCTTGGAGTCGCAAATTATTAGTTGGTATAAGAATAATTATATTGGGAGTACAAATAATCCGCCGTATGGAAAAGACGGCGCCACTAATAAAACTATAGTTAAAATTATTTGATGTAAAACGACATATCATAAGATTGGACGGCAACACTATAACCTTGAAATATTAGTGATTTTTGTATCAGCATCATATATTTTTTTTTGTACGAAAATGTCGAGTTTTGAGTCGAATAAGCGTCATTTGCGGGAACTTTTGATTTACTTCTTTAATTTGAAGAAATCTGCAGCTGAGGTTCATAGATTGCTTATAGAAGCATATAGTGATGCTGCCTTAAGTGAGAGAAGTTGTCGTGAGTGATTTCAAAAGTTTAAGAACGGTGAATTTGACCTCGAAGACAAAGAACGTAGCAGAAGACCGAAAGTGCACGAAGACGCGGAATTGGAAGCATTATTGGATGAAGATTCGTGCCAAACGCTAAAAGAACTTGCACTTACATTAGGAGTGACTCAACAAACAATTTCATATCGTTTGAAATCATTGGGAATGATTCAAAAGCAAGGGAATTGGGTTCTATATGAACTGAAGCCGAGAAATGTTGAACGCCGATTTTTCACATGTGAAATGCTGCTTGCCAGGCATAAACGAATGGGTTTTTTACTCATATAGTCACTGGTGAAAAATGGATCCACTACTAATGGATAACTCAAAGAAGAGAAAATCATGGGGACTATCTGGCCTTCAACATCGACAGCCAAGCCAAATATTCATGGAAAAAAACTCATGTTGTGTATTTGGTGGGATCAACTTATTGTCGTGTATTATGAGTTGCTCAAACTGAACGAGACCATTACTGGGCTCTCTACCGAACACAATTGATGAGATTGAGCCAAGCACTCAAGGAAAAACGCGCCCACTACTACTCCAGGTATGACAAAATTCTCCTGCAAGGTAATGCTCGACCACATGTTGCGGCTCCGGTTAAAACCTACTTAGAAACTCAAATGGGAAGTTCTACCCCATTCGCTGTATTCTCCAGACCTTGTTCTTTCCGACTACCACTTGTTCCGATCGATGACGCATGGCCTGTCTGAGCAGCACTTCATATGGTATGAAGATATCAAAAATTGTATCGATGATTGAATAGCCTCAAAAGATGAAGCGTTCTTCCGA